TGTGGTTGTCGATGCAGATGAAAATGAATGGTTTGATATGGGCAAGATCAGGGAAATCATTTTTTAAAAAATATTTTAGGATATTTCTTTTACTTTGGGTTTTTGGAAAGTTTGAAGATTAATTTTTTATTTGTGTTTTGGCAATGGTTGGATTTTATTTCATAAAAGTTGAAAATTTGGCTATTATGGATGTAGATATAATTAAAGTTTTTTATGTTTGGTGGCAATGTTAAGCATTCAATTTAAAATTAATTAACAGTAAGTTAAGGAGTTTAATTCGAATATAAGACTATAAGTAATTAGATATTTACTAGATGTGTGATTCTTTACTTTAACAGACCCCTATCACATGTAGGCAGAGATGGCAGAAACTTACTATGTTATAGATTTGAAAAGGACAATAAAATTTTTTTTTGACTTTGATACCATGTTAAATAACTAACTTAAAATCAATTGATAGTAAGTGGATAGGTCAAACTTAAATATAAAGTTACAAGCAATTGAATACTTATTTAGATGTGGGATAATATATTTTAACAGATAGAAGTTACAATAAGCAATGAACCTTAAATTTTGATATTTGAAATTGGTTTCTGTCTTCGCTATAATAAGAGTAGAGAATGTTTGGTTTGTGTAATAGTTTTATATATGTTAACCAGAAACCTTATTTATTAAGGTTATTTTTTTGTAACCGTTTGCTAAATGAATGGATATGATAGTTGGGTCAGAAAAAAAAGTTCAAAACTTAGATTAAATCCGACAAATTGTGATTTTTTTTCTAATTCAATAGTATTTATTTTTTTTAATCTCATTAATGCATAAAATATAAATACCAAGTGGTATTTTCTTGGATGAAAAATGGCCCACCCAACTCACAAGAATGCCACATGGCATAAAAAATCCATGTTAGTGTCATTTTCTTTTTTAAAATGCAATAAAAATTCATAATCAATGCCACATCATTTAGGTTAATAGCCTCATCCTTAAATGTAAGGCAACTAATTTTATCAATGTTATCAACTAGATTGACTTTGCCATATTGAAATGGTAAGAAATCTCATTTTTTTATGAATCATATTAGAGTGATTAAATCTTAAATTTTGTATTAATATGATGATAAATGACATAATTTGACTTTAAATCCTTGAATTTTATCATTTTTATTTGGATAATTTCTTAATATTTTATTGCACTTAAAAAATTTTAACTTTTAGTTTATATCCAAATAAAATTTTAATTTTTAATTCGTACTGAAAATAAGTCTTTAGCTTTTAATTCATTCTTAAATAAAACCATTAACATAAATCAATATTTCATTGAAATAAAATGCTTATTTTTTAAAACAAAATAAATATTTATTTGATATAAATCAAAAGATAATAACTTATTTAGAGACAATAAAAATATAAACTTTAGATAAGAATAATGAAAGAAAATTTTCATTTATACCTAAAAAAATACTCTTTACACCTAAATGCTAAATACATCTAAAATTCAAAATACAAAATAAACTTTTTTGCCCCACCCCAGCTTTTCATCTTTCCATTCATAGCCTTTTCACCTATTTAACCCTTTCTTCTTAATTTTCTTCATTCTTCAATTGGTCCTAACCAAACTCAACTCAAATTCAACCTTACAACCCTTTATCAAATCCTCAAATCATAAATTTCTAACTAATCAATCTATTTAAAGATGAAATTTAATTGATTTAGTTAATTGTTTTAGATTTTTTTATTTTTTATTTCTCAAAATTGTGTATTATGAAAATAGTTTTCTATAAGCTTTTGAAGTTTGACAAAAATTCTTTTCAATAAACTTTTAGAAGTTTATGAATTTAAATTTTCATAAGTCTTTTAAAACTTATGAAAATGAAGTTTTGTAAATTTTTAAAATACTAAAAAATATATTTTGATAAACTTTTAAAAAAGGGGTGTACAGAGTTAAAAACATAATTTATTAAAATATAATCAAATTATTTCATTTAAAGGTAATTTTATAATGAAAATTGGAAAGTGTACATAGCATTATCTAAGGTAAAGATATAAATGATATATAAATGTTAATTAGTTATTTGAACTCAACTTAAATAAAATTTAAATTTAATTTGATCATTATTAAGCTGATTTCGAATTCGAATAACTTGATTTATTAAGGGAGTCGAGCATTATAATACTTGGTTTAAGTTACTTATTACTATAATCAGATTTTTATATTTTAATATATTTTTAATATTATAATTAAAAAATTATTATTTTACTCTTATATATTAATTTGAACTCAAATTCAAATACAAATAATTAAGTTAAAAGTCAAAATTGAAAATCAAATTTATTTTTTATTTAATAAACAAAACTAATTGAACAAATTTAAATAATTTAATAATTATTTCAAATCAAATTCAAATTTAAAAATTAAAATTTAAAAATTAAAATTTAAAAATTAAAATTTAATTAAATTTGAACTAAATTTTGAGTAACAAACTTCTTGTCAAATTTAAACTTTTTACTACATCCATTCTTACTATTGTAATTTGAGATATATTTACGAGCTCCCACGATGATATACTTCGAGGCATTTTTAATATTTTAATCTTTTGACATTTCTACCCCTAAAATTTTGTCTTTTTTTTTTTCCAACGAAAGAATCCCCTACCTCATTCCTCTTATTCCTTTTAAGGAAAAATTTCGGCTCTACCATGTTGAAGCTTGTTTGTCGAATGGCGTAGGGTTTCTGATTTCGGTCCGATTCTCCGTCATGGCCATGAAAATTGTTTCTCTCTTTTTGCTCTTCATTTTCCAGTTTCGTCTCTCTCTGTCTGGTAAGCTTCTCTTTTGCATATGCAGTTTCTAACTCTTAATTTCTTCTTCAATTTACAATCTCTTAAAATTGGATATGCTTTTTGATTTGGTTGCTTAGAAAATGGAAATCCAGTGAAATTTACTAAGCATCATTTTCTTTCTTTTTTTTTTTTTTAATTTTTGTTCTATGATTGTTCCAGTTTTTGCGATGTCTACTTTGCTATCTTTTGGTTTACTTCAGTTTTCATTTTTGTTTTTATTTTGGACATTATTGATTAGACATTTTGAATTGAATTTTGTTTCTCTTTAATTTGGAAATTTTAGGACAGATGAGCTCAATGGAGTCAGTTCCTGATCTTCAAAAGTCAATGTATATGGTTGTTGATGGATTCCCTTGTGTACGACTAGTCAATCTTTCGGGAGAGATTGGGTGCTCAAGTAAGACCTCTTCAAGGATTGCGAAATTGTTGTATCATGCTCAGTTATATTTAAGTATTTCCCGAGAGTAATTCTTTCAACTACTGTTCATCAACTTATGCTTTTCCTTCTAATGTTTTGTTTTCAGATCCCGGACGAGACAAGGTCGTAGCTCCAATTATAAAATACAAGAACACCACAGAGTTGGCTCAGCCATCTGCAATTTTGTTGTCAATGGATGATGTGCAAGGTTTCTTTAGTAGGTATGCATATCAGAAGTGGCAAATCCAGGATTTTTTTTAGGGGTGTCCACTTATAATATATACATAAAAAACTGTTGATAGATTTACAAATTTTATGGTGTTTAGGGAAAATTTTTGTTCAAAATTTCTTTTTTTCTCATCTTTGGGGGCGTCCAAAGAAAAATTTTGGGGGTGTCCAGTGAAAAATTTTCCTTTAAATTTTGTTATTTTTCAATTTTGGGAGGTGTCCATGGACACCCTCCCACTAAAGGTGGATCCACCACTGCATCAGTTTATTTTTGAAGCCCCCTTGGGATTGTCTTGCGCAAATGCATGCACATTTCATTTCTTCTATCTGGGTCTTTGTTCTATTCTTTTCTAATTCTAATTATAAAGGAAAATGTATATTCCTTCTCCTTTACAGATTAGTTTTCCTCATTAACTGGTATTTTTTACCAATAGGTTCATTTCAATTTTGTTTTCTTTAGGTGTGTAAGTATGCATAGTAATTTCTTATTAATCTTCTTTTTGATTCATTCATGTTATACTGCTTTGAATTATGATATCAAACTTGTCACAAAACTGTCTTATGTATTAAATATTCTATCAGAAAGATAACTATATAATATATTGAATCAGTGCCTTTTAAATTACATTTCTATTTTTGATTTCAGTAAGTACTAAGTAATCAATTGGATAGACTCTTGAAAAGGTCCTATTGTTATGATACTTAAAAATTTGTCTCTAATTTTGGTTTCATAAGAACAGGCAATAAACCTTGGATAAATGAATGCTAACATATTGTCACTGTGGCAATGATTAGTATCTGTTGACTAGGATGTGCTGAAACAAAAAAAAAAAAAAATTTAAAACAAAGATGAGAAACATAAGTTGAGAAGACAAGGCTATGGCTAGGATTGATGTAGGACTGCTGGGCAGTTAGGATTTATGACAGTTTTTTTTTCTTTAAATTTAAATACTTGAGGAGAAGAGGTAAAATTAAATAAAGGAAACAAAAAAGAAAACCAATCCCTAAACTCCTTACTAAGGTTCCTTAGGAGTCACACCTAAGGTTGATTGCATTATACAATCACAAAGCAATAATGCTGAAATTCTCTGATATTAAACTATATTTCACAGAGAGTATTGGTTTGTATAGATTCCTAGCGTTCCTAATCCTAAAGAAATAGAACTCTTATTTGTATCATGATTTTAACAAATACTTAGACTCCAGACAGAAAATTAATAAGCTTACCCAAACTAAGATTCTACAGTTACGAACAGGAAATTAAGAAAATACCTGTGCACTTAAAACTCAAGAAAAACAGAAAATGAAATGAGAATCAATGACTTTAACATAAAGAAACATAAATCTAAGACTCAAAAGCAACTAATAAAGCCTACCCAAGTTCCCATCTCAGCTTCTCATCATCGCCATCTGCCAAATTTAGGTTTGGGCATCCCAGCCGGTTTAGCATGGTTTTTAAACACCTTTGAAGGCTGCTGGCAGTGCACTACATCAAGAACAAAGATATGCTTCTTTTTTTTTTTTTTTAATCTTTTTACAATTTTAGTTTTAAATTTGAGATGAATGATCTAAAGGATATGGATGAGATTAGGGTCTATTAGTGGTCTTGTTTTGGTGAATGTGGAATTAATTTTCTTGAAGTTTTAGAAAGCTATTTAAGATTAACATTCTTGTGGGTTAATTAAGGGCAAAAAAGATAAGAATGTACCTTTTCTATGTTTTATGATAGTATATGGAAAAGGAAGGCTATTGTGGCCACTTTGGATACATTTTGAGGTAATCTTTATGCATTTGGGGTCATAACAAAGCTTATGAGGAAAAGGATGTTTATTGCAGCAATATGGGATGGGTTTTGAGGCAATCTCTCTACGTTCAGGACCATATTCAAATGTCAAATTCATTTAAGAATTGATGTAAATATTTTTCTCTACTCTGAGTTTGACAACTACACTGGAATAAATATGGGGAAAGTTTGCAATATTAGTGCAATATGACCAGTTCTTGGGCCAAAGGTATTTATCATATCAGCTTGATCATTGGCCAATGTTAACTGATTAGATGTTTCCAAGTTGAAAATTTTGTGAAAGTTTCTATTAAAGAGCTACTAGCCCATTATTGCAATTTATTGCTTAGGTGCTGACTTTTAGCTTTCTATAGGATGATGAAGATTGCAAATTTTGGAATGAATGCTGTATGCAGACGATTTTCTGATGAGTTTGCTTGTTGAAGCTGTAATTCTCTTCAATAATCTTATTGTCAAATACCTGTCTCTGTTTCAGAATATCAAATGATTCAAGCTTTGCTAGGAATGTTGGTGGTGTTTTAGTTGAATCGGGTGTTGAAATCCAACATAAGCTAAAAGGTAAAATGCAGTTTCTTACTTATTACTGTTAATCTTCTCTCTACAGAGCTAGGGTGCATCAAGGAACTATGTTTATTTTGCTAACAGTTTAATCTTCTTTTTCTTGCAGGATTCTCTCCTGCTCAGAAGTTTCCGCAAGCTGAATTTTCACCATATCATAACACCACTTATGAGTGGAACCCAATTGTATGCCATTAGTCTATAGTAGGATAAAGATCGTTTGAGTTTTGAAGTATCTTTGTTAGCTAGTTCTTGTTGTAGGAACTTTCTGTTTTTTGTCATTAATATCTGTTATGATGGGCCTTCATGCTTTTTTTTTCAGGGATCTGGAATCATGTGGAAATCTTATAATTTTCCTGTGTTTCTACTTTCTGAAAGTAGCACATCAACCTTGCAAGAGGTACTTCATGTTGCTTCCAATTTCCAATATCTTTCAGTATGATGTCATTGTTATGGATTTTAATATCGTATTAAGTCTTATGTAGTGATCATATCTCTTGCATGCAAGAAATGAAAGAAGCTTCTGAGGTTGTTTCTGCCAGCCTGCTACGGTGGTTAACAGTTGATGATCTTCTTGATTCATTTAGTCTAATTTTAGTTGATTGATGAAAATAGATTAAGTGATTGTGTTAAATTTCTAGGATAGATTTAGTTTTCTGATTCTGATATAATTTCAATGCCTGCTTGGTTCATTTCTGGTTTTGATTTTCTGGGTAGTGTTTATTTCAAATAAAAGCAATATGTGATGCACTTATTCAAGCTATATTGATGTCAAGCTAGAAGAATTCAACAGAATATAAGTAGGAAATGGGAAAACAGCCAAAGCAAGCAGATCAAAAGTTCCCCAAAAAAGGCAACCAAATGAAAATATGCATCTAAAACTATAATATTATGGCCTCTAACTAGACTTTTTAGAGAAAGTTATGATTTCTCTACAATCATGGCCTTTAACATCACATCTAGTTTAATTTAGACTGTCCAAGCTTGTAAATCACATGTTATTTGTGTGACTCTTTAATAAAACGAGACAATAATGCAAGGGAATGTGAAGACTGCAATAGAGGCTAGTAAAACTGAAGACATGAACTGTCCTTTTAGCCCTATATTGGTTCTTAGATGCCCCTACATCTCAAATTGTGTCAAATTAATTGTGTATGAGGTGTAGTTAGTACAATTTTAATACCATAACTGCAAATTTGTTGGTAATATAATATTTTAGGGCACTGAAGCATCACACTGGGTGTTTTCACTTATTTGGTTAGTATGGAAAAACTGAGAGTATATAGAAAAACTTGTCTATTGAATTATACAAGCATCTTAGGTTTATATATAGTGATCTAGAGGGTAAACTAGGAAATTAAATTTTCCTAAAATTTATCCCTATAATTGAGGGATTGTCTATCCTAGTTTTCTATCCTTAATTCTAGGGATACAAATTACAACCAGCTGTAATTAAGTGTTTTCCCACACTCCCCCTCAAGCTGGTGAATAGGTGTTTTCCATTCCCAGCTTGGAAATAATTTCCTAAAATGTTGCATTGCTGAGACCTTTAGTTAACATATCTGCAAGTTTTCCCTTGGTTGATACATATAGTGTGCAAATCACAGCAGAGTCTCATTGGCCCATCTCACTTTATCTTCAAGACTTCTAAGATCATTTTTAACCATAGTAGTTCACAAATTCCTTTGGCCATTGCTCTAAACTCTGCTTCAGTACTTGATCTTGCTACCACATTCTATTTTTTACTTCTCCAAGTCACAAGATTACCACCTAGGAAAGTGCAGTAGCTTGAGGTGGATCTTTTATCAGTTACCATACGTGCATAATTAGCATCTGTCTATGCCTCTAGTACAAGCGTTGAATTTCTTTTGAACAAGATATCTCTCCCAGGATTGGCCTTCAAATAGTGTAGTATACGGTAGGCAGCTTGTAGGTGCCCTTTTTTAGGATTATGTATAAATTGACTTATCACACTCGCATCATAAGCTATATCAAGCGTAGTATGTGAGAGATAAATAAGTCTTCCAACTAATCTTTGGTACATGTCTCTATCTACAGCAGCATTTTCGTTAGCTTCTCCGAGTTTATGATTAAGATCTATAGGGGTATTTGCAAGTTTACATGTGATACGGTAGGCAGCTTGTAGGTGCCCTTTTTTAGGATTATGTGTAAATTGACTTATCACACTCGCATCATAAGCTATATCAAGCGTAGTATGTGAGAGATAAATGAGTCTTCCAACTAATCTTTGGTACATGTCTCTATCTACAGCAGCATTTTCGTTAGCTTCTCCGAGTTTATGATTAAGATCTATAGGGGTATTTGCAAGTTTACATGTGAGCTTCCTAGTTTCCTTCAAAAGATCCATCACATATTTCTGTTGTGGGATGGAAATACCATGCTGTGAGTAAGCTACTTCAATTCCTAGGAAGTACTTCAATCTCCCTAGCTCTTTTATCTCAAATTCTCTGGCCAATCATTGTTTTAGAGATTCTCTATCTTTTTCATCAATCTGGTTACAATTATATCATTAACATACACTAATAGAACTGTGACTTTTCTTGAATTCGAGTGCTTGATAAACAATGTGTGATCCGCTTGACTCTGCTTATATCCCATTGCTAGTATCACTTTGGCAAATCTCCTAAACCAGGCCTTAGGAGATTGTTTAAGGCCATATAAAGTCTTTTTCAGCTTGCATATTTTGTTTGCTTCTAGTGACCTCCAAATCCTGGTGGAACTACTTCTTCCAAATTACCACGTAGAAAAGTATTCTTTACATCAAATTGTTGAAGTTGCTAATTGTAATTTGCAGCCAAGGATAACAAAATCCTGATTGTATTCCTCTTGGCAATTGGAGCAAAAGTTTCCTGATAATCCACTCCATAAGTTTGAGTGTAGCTCTTAGCCACCAACCTCACCTTATAGCTTTCAACAGTACCATTCGCCTTGTATTTTATAGTGAAAATCCATTTATACCAAATTGGATTTTTTCCTTTAGCCAACTCTACCAATTCCCATGTCTTATTTTTCTTTAAGGTCTCCATTTCAATTTTATGGCTTGCCTCCATTTTCTCACTAGATAATGCCTCAGATAATGTAGTTGGATGGAAATAGTGTTTAGGCTTACAAGGAAATTTTTGTGGGATGGTGAGTTTTTTAATTGACACAAAATTAGAGATTGGGTATAATGGATGCTTATTACATTCTCTAGTTCCTTATCTAATGGCAATAGCCAAATCATAGTCACTAGTTTTAGTTTTAGGAGATTCATGGTCATTTTGAGAAATAGAGTCAGAGATTGCAGTTACCTCATTTCTAGAGTTAGGATCAGGTTCTTGGACTTGCATTGGTTCAGGAGTTGGAAATTTCCTTCTTGAGTACACTTGTAATTCCTTTATAGAATCAAGAACAATATTTTTTTTTAGTCACAGTTTTTGTGTTTGGAATGGATTTAGACTTAGATTCAGTGTTTGACCTAAGAAATAGGTTTAGATTGAGAAGAATTAATGGGTGAAAACGTTGAGGAGGACAAGTAAAGCAAAAAGAAGTCTTTATCTTTATCTTCTATGAATAAACTCTCATCTTGAAGATAAGGTTGAGTAAAAAATGGTTTACTTTATTCAAAAGTGACATCTACAGACAGAATTTTATGGTAGGAGGATGATAGCGCTTATATCCTTTCTAAATTGATGAATACCCCACAAAAATACATTTAACTTCTCTTGGATCCAACTTCCCCCTATTATGATTGTGAATATGAACAAATGATATACAAACAAATGTCCTAGGTGTGAGGTTGTTTGTGGTATTAAAGTTGGGATAGAATTGTGAGAGTAGTTCCATAGGAGTTTTAAATCTCAAAACCTTTGAAGGTAATTTATACTGTGTGTGGCAGTAAGAATAGTTTCCTCCTAGTAGGATTTGGGTATGTTTGTCTGAAAAAGTAGGGCTCGGGTTGTGGTTAGTCAATGGTTGTTTTTCCTCTTTGCCACTCCATTTTGCTGTGGAGTATTAACACAAGATAACTAATGAAAAATCTCCTCTTGTTGGAAATAGCTAGATAAACTCTGTTTGAAATAGTCTCTTACATTATTAGATCTAAATCTCTTGATTTTCACTCCAAATTGATTTTGGATTATGTTTTGGAAGCTTAAAAACATACTATTCACATATGATTTGGATTGAAGTAAAAAAATCTTAAAGACTCTGGTACAATCATTTATGAATGAAACAAACCACCTTGCACCATAAATATTAAGAATTGTAGAGGGACCACATGTCACTATGAATCAAGCATGTCACTATGAATCAAGTAAAGAGTAGAACTTCTTTTATTGCTAACTAGAAAAGACACACACGTTTATGCTTTACAAGTTTACAGACATCACAATGGAAATTTTCGATATTTAATCCTTTGAACAAAGAAGGAAACATGTTTTTCAAAGTTCCAAAAGAAGGATGTCCAAGACGAAAATGATAAAGCTAGAATTTTGTCTTTATTAGGAGATTTTTCAGAAAGAAACGACAAAGGTAAATTATTCTTGATATTATTTGTGTTGTTTGATGTCTCAAGATAGTGATGTCTCAAGATAGTATAGTCCATTCTTCTCCTTAGCAAGTGCAATCCTTTTCCTCAAAACCTGGTCCTGAAATTCACAATAGAAGGGATAAAAAGTCACATTGCAATTCATGTCTCTACTAAGTTTTTTATAGGTATCAAGTTAGTAGACAATCTAGGCACACAAAGAACATTTTTAAGAGCAAATGAGGGAGTAATTTGTACATCTCCTAATTCTGCCATTGTAATAAGTGAACCATCTGCAACAACAATTTTCTTAGTACTAGGACACATGATATATGTACTAAACTTATGTGAAGAATGTGTCATGTGGTCTATGGCTCCTAAGTCAATGACTTAAGAACTTGTAATAGACTTATTGGAGACATTTAATCTATGAGAACTAGAGACTTTACCTGAACTAGAGACCTTACTTGGATGTGCCTAGGAACATACACCAGTAGGCTTTTCAAGGCTTCCTAATAGGCTTCTTAGTTTCTCAATCTCTTCGTTGTCAAACTCACCTTATTCTCGAGACTTCTCTTGGTTTGACTCCATTGCAGTCATGTGAGCTTGCCTTTGATTTCTTGGTTGTCCTCCTTTATAACCCCATTCTTTGCGTGAAGTTGAGGGTTTTCCATTTAGTTTCCAACAATCTTTGGTGTGCCTTGGCTTCTTGCAGTAGGTGCACCAAAGATTGTCGCTACTTGAGGGTTTAGCCAAATCACCTTTCCCTTTCTCACTAACTAGTAATTGTTCCAAGCTTTGGTTATTCCCACCATTAGACACCATAGTAGATTCTTCTACATGCTGGTTGTCAAGTATCACTTCTCTTTTGCTCTAACTATGGAGATCACCTCATTTAAAGACGTCAAATCCTCCTTTCCCAAAATTTGGACTTTGACTTGATCAAACTCAACATTAAGTCCAGCAAGAAAATCATAGACTTGATCTTTTTAAATAAACATCTTTGAAGTTGCTGCATCTTCACTACACGTAACTCTATGCACCGGTAGTGGTCCATATCTTGCCAAAGATTTTTCAGAAGAATAGCATACTCTATGACTGATTTATTCCCCTGTTTGTAGTCTTGATCTTTATCTCATAGACTTGAGCAGCATCCCTAACTTTGGAGTAGGTTTGCTGAACTGACTCGCAAATGTCTTTGGCTGTGGACAAAAACATGCAAGTGTCACTAAGATCTGGTGTCATAGAATTCCACAACCATGACATAACCATGGAATCCTCTTTAACCTAAGCCTCAAATTTTGGATCTCTTGTCTTAGGACCGGTACCAAGAAGATGGCTCAATTTTCCTTTTTTTTTTTAAAGAAAGGTTTGAATCAAGACCACTTACAAGTAGTTCTTTCTAAATCTGGCGATTCGTGTATTCGTGGTGTAAAATACTAAAATTCATATATTTATACTATGTTTTACACGAAAATTGTGTGTCAAAATTCGTGTCGACACAAAAACATGAAATGTGTATTTTCAGTTTTGTTAAACCCATATATGATTATATCTTAAATTTTAAGCTGTGTCACCTTGGTGTGCTTTATTCGTGTCGTATCACTGTGTTGTGTTTTAGATTGCCAAGTCTAGTTCTTTCCATTCAATTTGTATGTAGCTTGGATATTTTGTAGTTCTTCTGTGGTTTGATGATTTGTCACTTTCTCAAAACGGGTAGTAGCAGTAGAGCAGTTTTGACATGATTAGTTTTCTCAGGATTGAAACAAGTTTTGATAGTAAAGATTTGAACAGAGATGATTCTATGCAAAGAAGGCCAAAGAAGGAAAAAAAAATAAGACTATGAAATACTTAACAAGATTTGGCTATGGAGGCTTGTCATAGAATTCAGCAATGAAGGCTGAAATGGTTTTCTTCCCAATAAGAACCTAAAGCTTTGATACTATGTGGAAAAACTGAGAATATATAGAAAAACTTGTCTGCTGAATTATACAACCACTTCAGGTTTATATATAGCTAACTAGAGGGTAAATTAGGAAATTAAATTTTCCTAAAACTGATCCTTATAATTGAGGGATTGTCTATCCTAATTTTCTGTCTTAATTCTAGAGATACAAATACTTAATTCTAGGGATATAGATTAAAACATACTTAATTCTAGGGATATAGATTACAACCAATTGTAACTAAATGTTTTCCCACAGTTAGATTTTAGTCCTGGTCTGATGCAAATGTCCTAATGATTTGACATACAATGCAGATTGCTATGAAGAATGAGAAAACAGAGAGAGCTTATACTACTAATGTGGCAGAATTTGATGTAGTGATGCAGGTATAGTGTTACGACTGATTTTAACTGTGGTCTTGCAGATTTTGTTGATTATATAACTTTTCATACCACTTTATGACTTATATTCTAGTTTTTTATACATTTGCCGTGGATTAGACAACTAAGGTTGGGACTCATGATTCAGAATCTTGTTTGAAAGAAGAGACTTGCCTTCCATTAGGTGGATACAGGTGAAGTTTCCTTCTTTTCTTATGAAGTTACTACATAGTGCTATCTTTTAGTTCAGTTTTAATCAATTTGGGTTCACAATAAATACATTCTTATTTGTCTGGTATCTAAAAGTATGCAATTCATCAATTCCTTCATTTCTGTCCTTTCAGAATTATAAACTTTACAAAGTAAAAATCTGATTAATATTTTGGGGAATAATATGAGAAATAGTGTGAAGCACCATTTAATTTGTTATTTGCTTAATTAACAATTGCTTCCTCATTTATTTTTGTTTTATCTGTGTTTTCAATTTGTCTAGTAGAAAAAAAATGAGCTTTGCAAATAGGAGTGATGTTTATTCTTATGGTGACATAACTATTTTACTTCGCGGTGGAATGCTCAGAGGGGTGAGCCTTATGCTGCATTATATTTCTGTGCTTCAATTTGTGAATTTCATTCTACAGAATCACATCTGGAAAATGTTTACAGTGTTAGTTTTAACCTAAAATCCCTTTTCATTTGGCCAAAATTCAGCTACCCTTTGTCATGAGATGGGCCATAACCAAAAAAGACTAGCCTGCTAAGTGAGGAAATTATCTCACTTAATTAGCTCCTTGATTTTCCTTCCTATCCAATGTGTAATTGATGCATCTTGCTTATTACTCCTTGGAGTGCTTGGTTTGACTATTCTCTCCCATCTGAACTTGTGAGTTGTGACAACCTTGTTAATAGTTGGACCATCTTGCCTTGATGTAGGATCTTAGAGTTGCTGGACAATAGCTTTGAAGGGGAATTTTAGGACACCTACAGATATGGCTATCACCCTGTTATAAGAAATCAACATTCTGAGAGAAAACTCTTTCTAGGTATGCTGGAATTAAGAGAGTAAAGAAACAGATAAGTAGACTTGGGACATTAGATGTATCCCTAACACGTTCTTGGGCTACCTACCTGTAAGGTGCAACAATATTATTATACTGACATGAGACCTGTGACACAAAAATAAAACTTTTTTCTAGCCAATTTAAGCGTTTCATAAGAGACTTGACTAAATGAAAACTATAACAGAAACAGCTATAAAATTAACTTGAAAACAGCACCAAACTACACTAAACTAAACTCAACCTGAAGGAAATCATCAAGATCCCATGTCAGCACTAAATCTTCAAAGGAATCCCAAATTGGAATTTGCATCTTAGAGCTACCTTTCCCTTCCCTTTATACACCTCAAGTGAATGCTACCAGTTTTAGTTTCCATCGTGCCTTTCCTACCCCTCAAGGTACTTAGCATGGAATTTGATCAGGCAGTGGGTCAATTTGATACCACATTCTCACAAGATGGCCAACCCAATAGACTAGCCCATGAAGTGAAGGTGCCATCCTGCTTTATAATCACCACAACATTCTTCACCTCTTCATATTTTTGTATGCTTCACTCACCCTCCTCTGCCTCAAAGCTCCTTGCATGACTTCTTTCTGACCTTGGAATTTCTAAATACTTCTTTATTCAGTTTGTTTAAGTTAGTTGGCATTTATCCATTTATGAGAAGTAGATAATTGAATTGTGGTTAACTTTTTCTTTGATTCTGAATTTTGATGAAATTTAGAGCTCGTCTCTGTTATTATTTGACCATTTTATGGCTTATGTTCTTAAAGGGATAGTGAAGGTAATGTGTAGGAAATCATGTCTTTTTGGGAAGATATATATTACAAAAATGTGATTAATTATCCAAAAAAAAAACGAAATTTAAATAAAAAAGAAATGTTATGTCATGTTTTGTCATGAGCTAAAACTTATTTGTTGCTGTATGCTGTTATTGAGGTTCAAGGATTCTTATGTTTTCTGAAGTTTTACATCAATGTTTAATTTTATCAATCCTTATCATGAAGGGCAGTGTTTGGTCAGCTCTCCCACCAATTGATAGGTTATCCTCAAATCAGTCCAAGCCCATTATACTAGCAGTGGCTTCTATGGATGCTCAATCATTTTTTCGGGACAAAAGCCTTGGTGCAGATTCCCCTATATCTGTAAGTTCATGTCTTTCATAGTAAGATTCATTTATTTATATGTTGTGTTTTCTGTCTGATTGAATCCAAATTTATGTTACAAATACTTTCCAGGGAATGATATCATTGCTGGCAGCAGTTGATGCCCTTTCTCATGTAGATGGTTTAGACGACCTTAATAGACAGGTTTTCTAAGACTGGCATTTTTCTTGCTACATTGGAGGGAGGTGGTCAACCTCCAAGAAAACTTTTTTGTGTGCTAATATTTCCATAAATTTAGTGCAGCTTGTCTTTCTTGTTTTCACTGGTGAGGCCTGGGGTTACCTTGGTAGCAGGAGATTTTTACTTGAACTTGATCAGCAGTCAGATGCTGTTCATGGCCTCAAGAGCACATTGATGCATTTGGTATCCTTCTCCTTTGGTTGAATTTGTTTTTCATCTTGTAATTGTGTGGAAAAACTAAGAAATAAAACTGTGTGAAAAACTAAGAGTAAAATTGAATGTATATTAAAAAACTGCTCATTAAGAGTTATACAAGCACCTTAGGTTTATATACAACTAACTAGTGGGTAAACTAAGAAATTAAATCTTCTTAAAACTATCCCATAATTGAGGGATTGTTTATCCTAATTTTCTGTTCTTAATTGTAGGGATACAAATACTTAATTCTAGAGATACAAATATAAATATACAGATTACAAGATTATAACCAACTGTAAATAAGTGTTTTCCTACACTCCCTTCAAGCTGGTGAATAGATGTTTTCCATTCCAAGCTTGGAAATAATTTCTTGAAATGTTGTACTGCTGAGACCTTTAGTCAACACATCTACAAGTTGACCCTTGGTTGATACATACGGTGTACAAATCAACCCACCATGTAGTTTTTCTTTTATGAAATGCCGGTCTACTACAATGTGTTTTGTTTGGTCATGTTGCATAGGATCGTGTGCAATGCTTAATGCAGACTTGTTATCACAGTAGAGTCTCATTGGTCCATCCCACTTGATCTTTAAGTCTTCTAGGATAATCTTTAACCATAGTAGTTCACAAATTCCTTGAGTCATTGCTCTAAACTCTACTTCAGCACTTGATCTTGCCACCATATTATGTTTTTTACTCCTCAAAGTCACAAGATTACCACCTAGGAAAGTGCAGTAGTCTGAGTTGGATCTTTTATCGGTTATTGAGCCTGCATAATCCCTATCTATATATGCCTTTAAAACCAGCCCCGAATTTCTTTTGAATAAAATAATTCTCCTAGGAGTGGCCTTCAAGTAGTGCAAATACATGGTAGATAGCCTGTAGGTGTACTTCTTTAGGACTATGCATAAATTGACTTATCACACTCATAGCATATGCTAATATCAGGTCTAATACGTGAGAGATAAATGAGTCTTCCAACTAATCTTTGGTACATCTCTCTATTTATAGCAACATCTTCATTAGCTTCTCCAAGTTTATGATTAGGATCGATAGGGGTATTTGCAGGTTTACATGAGAGTTTCCCAGTTTCCTTCAAAAGATCTATCACATATTTCTGTTGTGAGATGAAAATATCATGCCTTGAGTGAGCTACTACAATTCCTAGGGAGTTCTTCGATCTCTCTAGCTCTTTTATCTCAAATTCTCTAGCCAAACACTGTTTTAGAGATTCTCTTTCTTTTTCATCATCTTCGGTTACAATTATATCATAAACATACACTAATAGAACTATGACTCTCCCTGAATCATAGTGCTTGATAAACAATGTGTGATCTCCATGACTCTATTTATATCCCATTGTTAGCTTCACTTTGGCAAATCTCCCAAACCAAGTCCTAGGAGACTGTTTAAGGCCATATAAAGTCTTTTTTAGCTTGCATACTTTGTTTGCTTCTAGCTGATCTCCAAATCCCGATGCAACTTTCATATATATTTCTTCTTCCAAGTCACCATGTAGAAAAGCATTCTTTACATCAAATTGTTAAAGCTGTCAATTGTAATTTGCAACCAAGGATAACAAAATCCTAACTCTATTTATCTTGGCAATTGGAGTAAAAGTTTCTTGGTAATCCACTCCATAAGTTTGAGTGTAGCCCTTAGCCACCAACCTAGCTTTATATCTTTCAACAGTACCATCCGCCTTGTATTTTATAGTGAAAACTTATTTACAACCAATTGGATTTTTTCCTTTAGGTAACTTTACCAGTTCTCATGTCTTTTTTTTTCTCTAAGGACTCTATTCCTATTTTCATGTCTTGCCTTCATTTCTCACTGAATAATGCCTTAGATAATTTAGTTGGAATAGAAATAGTGTTTAGGTTCATAAGAAAATTTTTTGTAGGACGGTGAGAATTTTTCAAATGACACAAAATTAGAGATTGGGTATAGTGGATGCTTAGTACATTCTCTAGTTCCTTTTCTAATAGCAATAGGCATATCATAATCACTAGTTATAGTTTTAGGAGATTCATACTCATTTTGAGAAATAGAGTCAAAGATTGTTGTTACCTCATTTCCAGAGCTAGGATCAGGTTCTTGGACTTGAACTGGTTTAGGATCTGGAACTTTTTTTCTTGAGTACACCTATAATTCATTTGTAGAATCAAGAATAATATTATCTTTTGTCACATCTTTTGTGTTTGGAATGGGTTCAGACAATTCAGTGTTTGACTTGGACTTAGAAGAAACAGGTTTAGATTCAGAAGAATTAATGGATGAAAATGTTGAAGAAGAGGACAAGTCAAGCAAAAAGAAGTCTTTATCCTTATCTTTTATGAATGAAGTCTCTCTCGAAAGATAAGGTCGAGTGAAAAAAGGTTTACTTTTTTCAAAAGTGACATCTGCAGATAGAATTTTTTGGTTGGAGGATGATAGGATTTATCTCTTTCTGAGTTGATGAATACCCACAAAAATGCACTTAATTGCTCTAGGATCTAATTTTCCCTTATTATGATTGTGAACATGAACAAATGATGTACAACCAAATATCTTAGGTGTGAAGTTGTTTGTGGTATTAAAGTTGGGATAGAATTGTGAGAGTAGTTTCATAGGAGTTTTAAATCCCAAATCCTTGAAGGTAACCTATTTATAATGTGTGTAGTAATGAGAACAGCTTCTCCCTCAGTAGGATTTGGGTATGTTTGCTTGAAAAAGTAAAGCTCGGGTTGTGGCTAGTAAATGATTGTTTTCCTCTCTGTCACTCCATTCTGCTGTGGAGTATTAACACAAGATGACTCATGGATAATTCCCTTTTTTTGGAAACAAGTAGATAAACTCTAGTTGAAATAGTCTCTTGCATTATCAGACCTAACTCCCTTGATTTTCACTCCAAATTGATTTTGGATAATGTTTTGGAAGCTTAAAAATACACTATTCACATCTGATTTGGATTTAAATAAAAATATCCAAGAGACCTTGGTACAATCATTTATGAAAGAAACGAACCACCTTGCATAAGAAAAATTAGAAATTGTAGAGGGAACCCATATGTCATTATGAGTCAAGTAAAAAAGAGTAGAACTTCTTTTATTGCTAACTGAAAAAGACACACGTCTATGCTTTGCAAGTTCACAAACATCACAATGAAAATTTTCAGCATTTAATTCTTTGAACAAAGAAGGAAACATGTTTTTCAAAATTCCAAAAGAAGGATGTCCAAGATGAAAATGATAAAGCTAGATGTTGTCTTTATTGGGAGATTTTTCAGAAAGAAATGACAAAGGTAAACTATTCTTGATATTACTTGTGTTGTTTGATGTGTCAAGATAGTTTAGTCCACCCTTCTCCTTAGCAAGTTCAATCCTCTTCCCAGAACTTTGGTCTTAAAATTCACAATAGGAGGGATAAAAAGTCACTTTGCAGTTCATGTTTTTGGTAAGTTTTTGTACAGATATCAGATTAGTAGACAATCCAGGAACATGAAGAACATTTTTAAGAATAAATGAAAGATTAATTTAAACATCTTCTAATTCTACTACTGCAGTAAGTGAACTATTTGCAATAATAATTTTCTTATTACTAGGACATAGGGTATATTTACTAAATTTTTGTGAGGAATGTGTTATATGGTTTGTGGCTCCTGAGTCAATGACCCAAAAACTCGTAATAGACTTAACCGAGACATTTAATCTATGAGAACCAGAAGCTTTACTTGAACTAGAGACCTTACCCAAAAAAAAAACCTAGCAGGCTTTTTCAAGAGTTTTCAATAGGCTTCTTAGTTTTTCAATCTCTTCTTTGTCCAACTCTCTTTGTTCCTGAGACTTTTGTAGTACTTCTGTGGTTTTACTAGTTGTCATTTCCTCAAATTGGGTAGTAGTAGTAGTGGATTTTGCTATCTCTGGCATGGTTATCTTTCTTAGGATTGAAATGAGTTTTGATAGTAAATGTTTAACCAGAAATGATTCTAGGCAATGAAGGCCAAAGAAGGGAAAAATAAGACTAAAAGAGTTAACAAGATTTGACTATGAAGGCCAGAAATAGAATTCAGCAATGAAGGTTGAAAAATTTTTCTTCCCAAGAAGAGCCTAAAGCTCTGATACCATGTGAAAAAATTAAGAAATAAAATTGTGTGGAAAACTAAGAGTAAAATTGAATGTATATTTAAAAATTGCTAATTAAGAATTATACAAGCACCTCAGGTTTATATATAACTAACTAGTGGGTAAACTAGGAAACTAAATCTTCCTAAAACTGATCTTATAATTGAAGGATTGTCTATCATAATTTTTTATCCTTAATTCTAGGGATACAAATACTTAATTCTAGAGATACAAATATAAATATACAGATTACAAGATTATAGCCAATTATAAATAAATGTTTTCCTACAAATTGTAAGGGGTTTTTGGCCTACCATGGATACTGTTGCTTTCGTACATTGATCAATTAAGATTACGTGTGCTTGCGCACACTTGTGTATGTGTGTGAAGTGATTATACTTCATTTTTGTAATTTCTATGTTAAGTAGTCACCTTGATTCATGTCAAGCTTGCTCTTTCATAGATATAAATGTATGTATTAAATAATTTGTTTCTTTGATGGATTGGAAAAGGTCATGGAAATTGGGTCAACTGGAAGAGGCTTAAATCAAGGAAACAAAACCTTCTTTGCTCACACAGAGGTAGTGAATGATTTATTTATTTTATGAATTTTAATAATGTATCTGCATTATGTATGCAAAAAAATTACTCTAAACATTCTACACAGGGTCTGTGCTCTTATATTTAGACATTCTAAACAGGGTTGTTTATGGTATGTAATACGGCAATATGGTGTGATAGATTAAAAAAGGTGAAGATGATGGTAGAGGGAATTGTTGATTTGATTGATTATGCAGCAGTGTGTTGAGGTATTAATGCTATTTGATTGTTGATTTTGTGTGTAACTGCTGCATTAATCTGGTGGTGATGGTGGATAATTTACAATAGGGGCAATGAAAACAATTTGGTCCGTTGGCTCCCCTTTTGATATTCCTGGTGAAAGGAGGCAATGGTTAAACTGTAATTGCAGCTAGGAGTGGCACTTTTGCCTCCCCTGCTGTGTTCAAAATGGCCATTAAGCAAATGGAAACTTTTACTTTTAAAATAATTTTAAAATTTAAAATAAAAGTGGAATCAGGGTGGATATTACAATTTGTTGTCAAATTTCCGGACCTTGTAAAAGGCAGTTGCAGTTTTAATTCAAGCTGCCAACATGGCTTGTATCCACGTATAATAACCTCTAGTTTGGAGTCAAAATTGATGGAAGTAGATGGTAATCTACCAAGTTTAGGTCCCTTAGTAAGACCACAGTCGGCTTAATTTGTTGGTGGGCAATTAAGATCAAATTCTATCCTTTGTTCAAAGACATGGTAAAATTCATTATCTCATATTTTTCTAAGTAATATTTTACATGAACAAGCTTGGATAATCAATTTCCCCTCATCCTGGTTTGCTCTACATTAAATGAGCACTATAATCATTATTATAAGAAGATTAGTTTCCATGATAATTGCTCTTAATTTGTGACGTCCATCAGTTTCTCTTGATTTTGATAGGTTATAATATGTTCATGCTTGGGAATTTCAGACTGTGCCTACTATGCTTTCATGTGAAATTTCTTGTACTCAAATTAATCAAAACTAGTATGCCGCTTTTGCTTAAGTCTCAGTGGTTATTAATGTAGGTTTCATCTGCTTCAAATGAAACTTTGGATGCCTTAAAACTTGCCCAGGAGTCCCTTAAATCTGATGGTGTTACAATTTCAACTGCTAACTCTTCAAATCCTGGAGTCCCTCCATCATCCATGATGGCATTTCTGAGAAAGGTTTTGAGGAATAAACTTGAACTCTTATATTTGCTTTGACTATTCCTAGTTATATTTCTTTTTTGTACAGTCAAGTGTGTACTGATGCAGAATATGCTGCTTTTTCCAACTTGAGCTCTAAGTCATTTTAATCTTAAGAAACGTTTATAACAATTTAGTTTATTTCTCATTGGAGCTGTTCCATGTTAGAAATATGACGATTTATAGTTTGCTTGGTCGCATGATGCGAAAAGGATTTTAAACCTGTGACCCCCTATCCCCACCTTCCTTCTTAAGAAAAACCCATTTTTTCCTTTTTTTTTTTCACAGATTTTTCTAGTTGAAAATACCTTACCTATTAGAAACAATGATAACTTAACAGGACTAGGAAGACCATTATGACATGATCGGGTTAGATGTCAATGATTTCAATGGTGATGATATCAGTAGTGATGTAGTATACTTATCACCTCTTTTTTTCTTTTGAGCAGAACTATCAAGTGACAAACATTGCTAAACTGTTTGACTTATTTGACTGCATTTTGAAAAAAAAAAAATGAAAAAGGAAAGAAAGAAAAATGAAAAAAGCCACCCCTAGAAAGTAATTGAGAGTTCCTCGAACAAGAAATCCTGAAATGCTCTCTTGTTGATTAGTCTAGATTAATCTTTTCCATAGAGATTCTCATTTGCTGAAACATCTTGTAGGTCTTGATACTTGGGGTTACATTTCTTATATAGTTAGGTTTTTTTGAGAGGCTAACTTAAAACAATCCTTAGTCTGTTACCATAAAAGTAATATTATATGTTCTTATGTTATAGATTTATGAATTAAAATTATTGATCAATATTTTTGTGGACAATGTTAGCCTGATCATTAAACAAGTAACTGAGAGTAGTGTATTTTAAACATTTAGAAATTATATGATAAAGATAGTAAGAGGTTTTCATTTTTGGTACATATGCATAGCCTTTGGATCTTGGGCTACACAATAAGAGGCAACTCTCACTCAAACCATAAACCTCCTCCCCTCCTCCCCCACATGTCTGGATTTAAACCCAATACCTCTAAGTTGGAGTTTCAAGTTTTAACTATTGGGACCTGTCTTGGGACCATATTTTACGTTAATTTAATATAAAAATTTGATTTATTATTGGTGAAAAACATTTCTGTCAATTATAAAGTTTTGTAACAACATATGCTTGGCCTAGACATAGTTATTACTCCTTAGGCAGGGTAAGGACTAAGGTTGTTCCACCTTCACTCTTGTCCTTTCTCACATGTACCGCCTAAAAAACATTGACCTTTTAATTTGTATGTATAAATTTTAGAACTTACAAACCATAGCTTTATTATTAACCCATTAATCCCAAAGAAATATTTCTGGTTTCACCCGAGTCACATCTTGAAGTATGGAAGCTCAAATTTTTCTTGCCATTCTTTGTTGCCTAACTTCCCTTGTGCTTTTCATATGAATTAATGTTAATTCAGAAGATCTTCCACTTTGCACTTTCAAGCTTTTTTCTGTTATGTCAGTTTTTTTTTTTTTTTGTAGTACAAAAACAAAGTAGAACTTATCTGTTTTTTGATCTCTTAGTAGAACTCTTCAACTTCTGGGATTGTGTTAGAGGATTTTGATACCATTTTTGCCAACAAGTTCTACCATAGTCATCTTGATGATTCAGGTGAATTAATTCATATTATTGTTTGTTTTTCTCTGCCCTCTCTTCATTTGTCTTTAATTTTACCCATAACTGGTAACTTTTCTTGTCATTATCTATATTGCAGCAAATATAAACTCTTCAGCGATAGTGGCAGCTGCTTCTCTTGTTGCCCGGACCCTCTATGTTCTTGCAAGTGATAACAAGAATTTAACCAGTTCAGCTCTAAGTGCAATCAATGTGAATGCCTCTCTAGTAGAAGAACTAATTAGTTGCATGTTGGACTGTAATCCTGGTCTTTCTTGTGAGTTGGTTAAGAGCTATATTTCAACTACCAATACATGCCCAAACCATTATGTTGGTGTTGTTCTTGGAGAACCTTCCTCAACACCTCACCCCAATCAGGTTGACGACATTTCCAGGTTTGTATGGAACTTTCTGGCAGATAGAACATCAACTCCCAAGGGCGATACTTCTGTTTGCTCACAGGATTGTGGTAAAAAGGGCGGAGTGTGCATTAGAGCAGAAACAGATGGGAAAGGCGTTTGTGTTATCTCCACAACCAGGTAACTTCGCTGCTTGAAGATTCTAAAAGCTTGTTTTATTAGACTCTGAATAGATAGTATTAGGTAAGCATGATGGTGAGCAGTGCATATATTACTGCTTACTGCTTGTGTTTTACCTCATCCCATCTTTCATGCTCTGGATTTCCAGCCCATGAAGAGTCATAAAGTTGGTAAATTCTATTCTGCTGAGGCCTTTCTTAAATCTGACTTATGTTGGATAATTTCAACTTGATGTTGTCTTTTTGCTGCTTTTATTTCACATAAAATTGATTCCTTCATTATTTTTAGTTGATCATACTGACACGCACTTTATAGTGCTAATTGGCAGTTCAGGCAAGTGAAGGTATCATCACTCTGTCAAAGAGGTTATTAAAACTTAAAAGGATGTATTATAATTTCCAATGCCTTAGATGATTAAATCTATCTTCATATTCTTGGACTGAAGTATATACTAAATACATGGTTGAGTGTTCTCTAATGCTGGAATATAATGTCTGGTTGATACAAAGCCCTGCACTTACTTTATATGACTGTCATATTATCAGTATATTGTTGGTATGCTTTAAAGCAGTTTGTATTATTAAGTATGATGATTTAGCTATGTGATTTGCAAAATGACTGGTATAATATCTTTAATTACCGTAAGACAATGTGATCCTTATACTTGTAGATATCTTAAATGGCATGTGATTCCTCATTATAGGTATGTCCCTGCATATTCAACTCGCTTGAAGTTTGACTCTGGAACTTGGCAATTGTTACCTCCAAACTCCTCGGATCCCATGGGGATGCTGGACCCTGTTTGGACAGAGAGCAATTGGAATACGATTGGTCTCCGGGTCTACACTGTCCAGGATGCTGCTTATGACCGACTGGTTTTGCTCGGAGGTATCACTGTCACAGTCTTGGCTTATTTAGCAATACTACTTACAAGAGCCTACATAACAAAGGCCTTGAAGCAGGATTGACAGCTCAAGTCTTACAGAATTTTTTAGAAATATACAAAATTGTTAGGACCAAATGTTAAATATGGTAACTGACGGTATTGCACATATTGGTTTTTAAGGTTAAAATTTTTGAATCATTTCATGAAAATTGAAAAATTCTAGTTGTGTGTGGCTGTTCTGTAGAGGATTAAAGCTGATTGAATTGAAGTTTTTATTTTTCTTGACTGAATTGTTAACAGGATTTGTTACACGCGCATTGCTGTTGAATTTAATATATCACTCGGGTGATCAAAGTTCTCCATTTTCCTATTCAACTTCCTTTGAATTTTTTTCCCGTGCTATGGGGGCGATTTGTATTTTTATAAAATAAAAATAAAAATTAATTAGCCAAATTTTGTTTGAAAAATTAAAGAAAAATCATTTTCTATTTCTCTTATTATCCTTAACTATAATCACTTATAGTCTTCAATTTTTTTTTTTAATAAATAAAAGGTACTTTCGTCAAGAAAATTTATAATCAATGACCGAATAAATTCAATTTAATTTAAAGTTTCTTAAATTTTGTGCAAAAATCAAAATCATACCCTACATGAGATAAAGAGTAATATAGTGTAACATATATTTTGTTTATGGTTTTATTTTATAGGAAAATGATGGTTTTAGGGGTTTTCTTATGTAGGGTTTAAGGTCATATAACATAGTTCATGGGACTTTTCCATAATAATAATGAATTATTCCTTTTAGGTTCATGAAAAAATCAAAAACTATTTTAAGCAAAAAGGGTATAGGTTCATATTGGCTTCTAGGTTAAATACAAATTGTCATCATGAATAAAAAGGCCGACCCTATTTTAATTAAGTATATGATGTATGTATGTATTTATTTTGAACACTATTTACAGGTCATTGCTTAATTTAGGGTTTAGGTAAATAAAATCCTCAAATTATTTTTTAATATTTTGTTTTTAGGGTGTTGATATAGATAATATTGAGGTAATGTCAGTTAATAAAATCCTTTGTAATATTATTTAAGGATTGAGTTTAGGTTTTTAATTGGGTGAGTTTTTTAATGTTATAAAATTATGACATATGTCCTAAGTTTGTGACGTAAAACATTACATTTAGTTTAGGATGAAATAATGACAAAATTGATGGAGTTTGGTTAGCACCAAAAATTTCAAATTGGACTATGTAAGAGACAAAGATATATTTTGTTATCTATGATAATACAGGATAACCCCTAACATAGAGCAGAGTCTGAGATTTGAACTCTGTCGCCCTAATAAAAGAAACGCAAATTTTTTTTTATTGCTTACAATGTTTTATTATATTTTTATATTTTATAGATCATAGGCCATGTGGGCAGGCTTGGTCTTCCTAATTTGAGATAGGATCAGACTTTGTTTGAATTTAAGGCCCGAATATTATGGGCTTAAACTTTAAGAACTCAAAAACCCCGGCCCATGAAAAGCTTAACCCTGATTGATCTCCCTTTTGTTTTTTCATATAAATATTTTCTCCCTGAGGCTATGCCGCTTAGGGTTGACAACACCTTTAAATTCTTTCCAAAGCGTACCCCACCCTCGCTCAGTTGTTCTCTTTCAAATACAGGCGCCGCACAAGCCGCTACTCAAGGGTGGGGCTGAACTGAAGGGTTTTGATTATATTAAAACTGATTCGAAAGTCGATGGGGGCGAAGGCGAGGAAAGCGTCGAAGAAAATAATAAAGAAGGCTTCTTCTCAGTTTTCACCCTCTGATTCTAAAACAGCATCTGTTGATTTCCTGGTATGTTTCTCTTTTAGTATTCAATTTTTTGCCTTTGATTTTTTTTTCTTCCTTGTTTTGTAATCCCAAACTGGTTTTGAATTCTGCATATATCTATGAATAAAGCCATTGGAAGGCGGTCCGTCGCGTGAGCTTCCAGAAACGAAACCCCAACTAAACAATGCTACTGTCTTATATATTGGTCGAATTCCGCATGGCTTTTATGAGAAAGAAATGGAAGGTAAAAGAATTTTGTTTAAAGGATAGAGTATTTGTTTTAACGATTTTTTTTTTTTTGAAATTCTTGCTAAATGGGTATTTTATTGCAGCTTATTTTCAGCAGTTTGGTGCCATTAAGAGATTACGGATTGCTCGAAATAAAAAGGTTTTAAGCAATTGTGTCAGTTTCACTATTCTGCTCATTCGTTTATATTTCTGTGTTTGCTGGCATATTTGCATTTATGGACTTCGGGGTTGTGTTCTATTGTTAAGTTTATTTGAATTCTAAAAGTTACTTGTTGTAGGGTTTTTTTGAAGTTCTCTGTCGGTATTAGCATTCTAGTTTTATTTTGGAAAAATGCTTTAAAATGAGGGTCTTAGAAGTTGTTGGGAGTTATATGCCTATATATGTTTGTTTTGATACAGTTTAGCATACTAGAATTATTGCTTTGTTGATTATAAAATTCCTTGAATGAAATTTTTGGAATTTTTTTACAATTTGGTTGAGTGTGATAGGCCTAAATGGACATAATGCTATCATTTCATGCTTTATTTTGTTGTTCACTTCCATTTCGATAAAATAATTTTTAAGTATTAACTGTCTTTGTTTTGCAATTTTATGGTTGGAGCTTAACAGACAGGAAAATCAAAGCACTTTGGTTTCATTGAATTCGAGAATCCTCAGGTTGGAGACAGTTTTTATTATTTGATGTGTAATGAAATAATGCCTCTTGTGATTCTGGGTATTTTAATAATATTTGTTGTTGGCTGTAGGTGGCTGAAGTTGTAGCTGATTGTATGCATAATTATCTGTTGTTTGAGCATCTTTTGCAAGTCCATCTTATTCCTCCAGAGCATGTTCATCCAAAATTGTAAGCAATGAGTTATTTTTCAATAACTTGAGTTGTTTCTTATTCATGCATGTTTTTTTTAGGAAATTTCTAGTGCTTTTCTTTTCTTTTTTTTTTTTTAAAAAAAGGAAATTCTTGATGCAGTTTTTTATACTTTATTTACTGTATATTATTCCCAAATTTATAACACAGGAAGACAAGACCTTGTGTGCGACAGCACCAGCAAGATTTTGGGTCTAGGAAATGATGGCCTTTAACCCTTGGTTGTCATTACTTGAGAGGAAAAATATTTTAAGAAAATAGAGGATAAGGAGTCCAAGTTATGAATAATTATCTAATCTAATATTTCTGCAAAAAAGTGGGAGAAAAAAATTGAAAGAAAACGTGTATAGATTACTTTTACCATGGTTAAAGTGTGTATCTAGCTTGTCTTGGATAAATCTCCTTGCAAATTCTGAGCAATCTGAAGGGATGATTTGGTGGATTCTCAATGTTATTATGCATGTATTAGCTGGTGAAGATTTTATAATGCCTGTGTTTATTTTATATTTATATATTTTATCCCAACAAACGAATTATGAATGGAAAGAAGGCTTGTTTGTGAGGATCAGCTGATCTGTGAAATATTACAGCAGCCCTTGCTTGCCAAGCACAGTATTTTTACTAGTTTCTTAAAATACCATGAGGAGATGTAGGCATTTTCTGCACATTTCTCTGATAGATTGGTGATTGAGAATCTGTATTCTTTGATATGTAGATGGAGAGGTTTTAATTATAAATACAAGCCAGTGAACCATGTGCAAATCCAACGAAAGCATCAGAATAAGGTATTCGGTAGAGATAGGAAAAGTTGTCTGGCATATTTATGTGTAAATGACTAATTCATTTAGTGAGATTTTTTTTTTTTTAAATTTAAATTCCTTATGTTTTTGGCTATTCAGGTGAGAACATTGGAAGAGCATAAAAAATTGGTGGAGAAGATCATAAAACGAGATAATAAGCGTCGAAAGAAGATAGAGGCTGCTGGCATTGATTATGAATGCCCAGAAATTGTAAGAATCTGCCTCTTCAGTGTTTTACTTTCTTTATTCTATGCGGGTGAAAATGGACAATCTTTGGGAATGCTTAGGTTGAAGGTGAATGAAAATTTAGTATTACCACTCGTGTTCGATATATTGGCATGAAGCATTTAAACGTAGGTTTAATTAAATAAGGAATGGTTCTCGATTAGAACTTGCTTAGGGTTTTAAATTGTGCATAAAAAATCCATGGTGTCAGTTAAATTTTTAATATGGTGCACCACTTTCATCTCACTTAAAGCATCTGGATTGTTGATCCTTCATGGATTTGACATGGAAGATGAAATTGGACAAGGAACTCAACATTCATCCTGTTTTAGCCTTGCATGCTCCTTTCCTCCCCTTCTTTCTTTTTGCTTTCAAATTCATGTCTCAACTTTTTGGACAACTGAACTTGTAAGGAGGATTTGCTTCATATGAAGAGAGAGAAATTCAATATTTAATGCAAATATTTTTTTCATTCGAGTGAAGCAGTAGTTTTTCAGTTTTAGTTGAAGTGGCATTTTAACTTGGTCCTTCCACTTTTTGAGTTGTGACTGTCTGCCATTGTTGTAGGTGTATTTTTACTGTAAATTGTGCTGTAGTTTCAGTATTTGCTAGTTTGACCTGAGACTGCTGTGGATCAAACATGTTTAACATGAATTATAAATTATTTTTAGTTGTTAACCTCGCATGTGTATAGTCTGTTAACATATTGCATCTATGTCTTTCTAATTTTTTTTCTCTGATCGTGAGGTTTTCTGTATTCAGTCACATACTTACACTGATATTTTTGCAGGTGGGTAGCATTCAGCCCGCTCCAAAGAAGATAAAGTTTGATGAAGATTAGGCACTGCTAAGGTAGTTATGCTCTATCCAGCTATATTTATGGTATTTTATTTGTCATTTGTCACAGTTTCAAATTTGGTTTAGGTAAGTTTCTTATTGTTAAATTTCATTTAAACAGCTTTCATACCAATGCTTTTTCACATGTGGAACTATGAAGTTAATGGCTTCCACAATTGCTGTCTTGAGAAGCTTAAAATTTTAAAGTTTAATGTGGTATTTTAGCTGTTGACAAGTTTTATACTTTAAGTTCTGCTGCAAGTAGGAAATTTTGCGTTTGTTATTGTTGGTCCTGTCTTGTTAATTGGTGAGCCAGCTACACTTCCTAATATTAGCCTGTTTCCTAACATTGAAAAGCTCTCTGATGAGCAAGTGACTTGTATTCATCACTATATTCTTACTGGGAGACTTTGTTTGGTGAGAATGGAAAGGAGTTAAAGATGGAATATAACTTTTTATCTTTTTTAACTAGCAAAATCATAGAGCAAATTATTGACATTTAGATGTGGCAAACGGATGGTTTTGGGTATTTCGAGATCAAATTATGTTAGGTTCCATTATTTTTTGGGTTGGATTCAGACCAGTTAGGTCAATTTCCTTTTTTAATTTTATGAAATATAGTTTAGAGTTCAAATTATGTCAAATTTAATTATTTTGGGTTTAGTGGTTAGGTTAGTTAGGTCCATTTTGTTTTTTTTTTTATTTTATGAAGTATATCACTATTTCAGCATGCTTTCTGAATCTGAATTAAGATTTTGAGTTTTTTGAATTCAAACAATTACTTTCTGAATTTGAATTAAGGTTTGAGTTTTTTGAATTTAAGATTTTGGATTTAAACAATTTCAAATTTGAATCATTTTAAGTTTAGGATTTTCTTAACTAGGAGTTTTTATTATTATTATTATTTTTTTATAAGTTGGATTTAGATACTTTCAAACTAAATTTCTTGGAGTTCGGATCCGATCTGTCACCTCATACGTTAAGATTTTCAATGGCTTTCATCAATTAAGTTGGTCAAAATGATGACGCATAATTGGATCGCTTCACTTCCATGATTAACCACCATTTTATGAGTGCACTTTTCTATTGTAATGAATTTGCCAATTTAGATTGAGGAAAGGTTCCCTCCACCATTGTTACCAGCTCTAGACTCGTCTTGATAAGCTTGCTGCTGCTTCAGTTAAAGGCAAATTAGAATGAAATTATTACCATCCAAAAGCAAAGATGTCCAATTCATATAACCTAGTAGTTTAGGACACATTTCGAGTTTGGAATAGCCGACTCTGTCAACATGTTCCTTCCAACTCGTCCCAAACCATAAACTCTAATTACCCTAAACTTGAAATGATTTGGATTCCAAACCGAATCAGAAGTTTAATAAAAATATCGTTTTTATTCTTTTCTTTTTTTTTTTTTATAATTTTAAATTTCACTTTGATTAATAATAAATATATAGTTGACACAAACTATTATTATGAAAAATGACATGTTTATGAGAATGACAGTCTCATTCGTATCCAAAGGGTATCGAAAAACTTTTGATTTGATATGATCTTTTAGAATTGAAAATTTTTTTTAAAAATCAAATTTTAGGTTAAATCGGATAACAATAAAAATATTTAAAGTTGAATTGAGATCGAAATTTAGATAAATTTATCTTGATTTAATATATATATATAATTATTTTTGATTAATTATTTAATTTTATATTTATATATATTTATTTAATTTTATAATTTTATTAAAAATTAATATTTTATATTTTTAAAAAATATTTTATTAATTTAAATCCGATCAAATTCGAATATAAAAGAAATAAAAAGGTCAGAATCGAATCGAATATTATAAATATAAAATCAGATTGAGATTAGTAAAAATTTACACCCTACCCATTCCCGTCCCTACATCTTAATTTCACCGCTACGGTTGTGTATTTCAATCTCAGATCTCCATCCAAACGAACCCTACTTGTCACCTCTAACTTTCAGGAATTTTGAGGTATTTGGATTGCTAAAAAATAAGCCAACTTTTAATTGACTAATCTCGCTTCCAGTTCAACCTTTTTTTATCCTTCTTTCGACGAATCCAAGTAACAATATCCACTAAAGACAAATAGAGGGGGAAATTAAAACTAGAGAAAGTTGAGAGTTAATATGCAATACAAATACAAAATTTATCAAAGGAGGGTAATGAGAATGAAAAGGAGAAGAGCAGCAATGAAGGAATACTTAAGAGCAGCTAAAAGAATCGCCCCCGATATCAGAAACAACTGCCAAAGAACCTGAACACTAGCCCACGTTAACAAACCTGTCAATCCAACGGCTATGATGTTATCAGGATCTGGGTCCAGCAAATCGCCCAATCTGAAGTTAAACATAGACCGCCGATCATTCCTCGAATCCCCACCATTATTTCCATTAATGGAACCATTTGGCTGGCGCTTACCCTTCTCTTCTTCTTCTTCTGGTTTCTTGTTGAGTTCTTTGGTTGGGTTATCGGTGTTTCCATTTTGAGCGAATAGAATGAATCGTGAAGGGTGTTTTGGGATCGGAATTTGGGTTTTGGGAAATAAAGAAGAATATTTGTAACTGAGAAATAGCTTTGGAGAAGTTGATGGGATTTGAGGATGCAAAGAAGAGACGAGCCCTAACATTTTTTTTTAATTTTTTGGTTTTTGCCTGGTTGTTCGGAGAACTAGAAAAAAAAAGCCAGCGAAAATAATAAAAACCGAATTATAAATAAATTAAATTAAATTAAAATGACACAAATACCCTTGAAGAGAAAAAGATTAAATAAACACCACAGCATGCTCTCGGGTTGTTTTCTTAAGCAGCGTCCTTTAAAGCTTATATATAAAGTTATGGGATATTATTTGAATGAGATTAATTTTAATAAAAGTGAAAATAATGATGATTTTAAACATTTTATTTTATTCGGGGATTTATTAAAATTAAAATGGGTTTTGATTGTCAAAATTTTAGGCTCGGTGTTTAAAAATCTAAACAAAATTTTTAAGTTTTGATTTAATTTTAATCTTAATTTTATTTTTGTTTTTTTTTTGGTAAAATGAAAAGTAAAAAAAATGTAAAAAATAGAAAAAATACGGGAATTTGAAGATCTCAGTATAGAGAATCAAAGATCTGATTTTGTAGTTTAATGATGGAATGATTATAAGGATTTTTTTTATCCCAATCTTCATGAAAATAAAAAAATATATATAAAATCATATAACAATCAAATCACAGATTTGATTGAATTTTTTTTTCAAATTTAAAGGGATTGAATCCTTATATATACATGTCAAGCATCCACTGCCAAGGGAGGAATACATAGAGAAAATCAGACATAAAATACAGAAGAGAATCGAGCAAGACTCGACTCTAACTCTAATTCCTAGCTAATTCACAACTCTAATTCCTAGCTAATTCACTATTGCCCGAGAGGCACCCATTAGCCAAAATCCCAGCACATATCTCTACTAAGTATCCATATTCAGAAGCTAATCACCATCATCGTCAAAGCAGAGCACCATCAAGCCTCCTTTGTCTCCTCTCCCATTAACTAGTCCTTACACAGCCACTGAAACCGTCCCAAGCAAAACCATTAGCAACGATTGGCAACCAAACTTTCCTTCTTACAACCACAATCAGAGCACTCTCATACCCACCCCAGAACCAAGCTCACAAACAACCTGATTTCAGGAGGCCAAAACCCAATAAAAACATTCCCTGCAAACACCATCAACCTCAAACCTAACACACCTGAACATACCCACAAGTTCAACAATTAATTCAACAAAGCCCAATTCCTATGAACCTAAATTCCACACCGAAGCAAACCTAATTAATCCACCAAACACACACCCAACGTCAAAGCCAAACACAAACAAGTAATTAACATGAGCAATAAGCAACACACAGAATAAAAAGGGATTTGGGTAGTGAAACTTTTGGCTCTTGATTGGGAATTTTTGCAGTTAGTGTTTCAATCGGTGAAGAAGAAGATGAAAAATTCGAAAGAAGCTTTTGGCACCGGCGACAACTTGCGACGGCATATGGCAAGCTGGTGAATGAGGGAGCGACGACGGTCATCAGTTTCTAGGTTTTGATTGTTCATCACTTTAGAGAGAAATGAGAGGAAACAAGGTAGAGAGAGAATAAGAGAGTGGAAAATGAAAGAGGGAAAGAAAATCAAGCTTTTTTATGCTATGGTGAAAGTGGTGTCGTTTTTGGCATTGTGAGGAACTGGGTTTCTTTAACCCGTTTCCAGAAACTCGGTTTGGGGTCCAGCCCATTAGCCATAATCCGGCCCACTGTTCACCCCTAGCCTGCGTGCCATCTTGAATTGCTTGGGCCTATTCTTGAGCCCAAGTCATCAAGTCATTCTTTTCCAAGCCTTGATCAGAATTTAGATTACGCCATTCCAAACTTAAAATTTGTTTTGGACTTCAACTCGGATTTGGTCCAATAATTGGTATGTTTTTATTTTTCTATTTTTATTTATTTTGATTGTGGATGTTTTAAAATATATAAAAATAATTATTATTTTGAAAATTAATTTATGATGTCTTATCAAATTATTGGATGATTTTTTATGAATTTAATTTTTTTAATGAATTCTACCAAACTATTAGAGAATTTTTTAACTTAATTTTTATATAAAAAAATTAATTTTTTAATCCTACCAAATTATTATTGGAGGATTAAATCTTGAATTAAATCTTCTTACCAAATTATTGGAAGGTTTAATGAATTTTCTTAAAATAAATTTTATACATAATTTTACAACAAAATCTCATCAAACATTGGAAGATCTATATTAAAGTAAAATCTTATCAAACTATTAGAATATTTTACTGATTATTTCTTAAATAAAATATATTAATGAATCCAACAACGAAACTTTTTCAAAATAGGACACTGGTCTTTGTAAATGCTTTTAGGTTGAAAAAATTATCTTGAATTGCTACTAAACTATTGGAGTAATTTTAAGATTAATTTTTAATAATTAAATTATTTGGTAAAATTACAAAGATATTTTAAAGATTTAATAACTTGAAATCAAATTGGTACCATCATTTAGATATGCACTGTGACGGTGCTATAACATTCTTTACACATAATGCACTCTCGAATCTAAATTTGATTTTGTAGACTAGAATCCATCATTTAAAGATAGCTAAATCAAGCTTGAGACTCTTTTTAAGATGGGACAGATTTAGTTAGATGGTAGTCGCACATAAATAAAAAAGATTGGTGGCGATTCCTAAAGTTTATATTTAGCGATAAGTCCACGAAATCTATATATTATGACAGTTTGGTGACTTCACTAAGGACAACCATTAGACTAGTAAATGATTTCTTGTTACCTAAGCCTAACTTAATAAATTTAAAAACTTTTTTTCTTATTTGTACTTTATTTATTTATTTTTTAATAATATCTGTCATTCACTTGCATATGCATAACATGATCTCTACGCCCGAGTTTTGTCCCTTACGATAGAGTAAATACCTATTTCTTCGTGAGATTAATGTTTTTGTATGGGTTAGTGAAATACTCTTACTCAAATTGAATCATTCTGTTTGTAGCCTAAAATAAACGAGAATTGAGGTGCCTTACTGGTATGTGATGGACAATGATGTGAGGAATAATTTGGAAGCCTGTAGAGTCAACCCCAAACCACATATGTGAGCCATAATAAACTTAACCCATAGGTAAAGCCATGTTTTTCCTTTTTGTAGAAATAATCCAAATTGCATTACATACATTTTAAGTTATGCACTAACTTGTTTTGTTTTGTTTTTCTTTCTTTATATTGGATGCTAACTTTATTCTTGTTTGTTACTTTCTTTTGCATAAATCATGTTAACATTAATAGTTTCGCAACTATTTATTTATTTATTTTATTTGTTTGTTTGTTTTGTTTATTTTCATTCATTTCATGCATCTCATTCATTCATAGATCATCATCATTCATTTATCATGTCATTGCAAAATAAAAATCTTTTGCTTATATGGGGCAGCAATTCAGAAGAGATAAAAGATCAATTAGAAACACGAATCCAGGCTTTGGAACTTAACCAAGAGAAATTTGGGCATAACTTACAAGAAATAAAAAGCAACTTACTAAGCTAATGAAAAGTGTTGAAAATCTTGAAGCAACCTTTCTAAAAAATCCTTATCAACTCCAATTTGTATGTGCATTAAACAAACACTTTGTTGGGATAAAAAAGCCACTCATAATACTAATGTCGGTTCAAGTCATGTCAATGCATCCAATGGCCCAAAAAAAGACCACGTTATAAAAAAAGTAAAAGAGATAAAGCCTTCTAACCTTGCATCGACTCCATAGATTGGCTCATACCCAAATTTCTAACAGGTTATTACTAAACAACATTTTTGGCATCCTAAACAAGACTTGATTTTATCCAACCCCCACAAATTGGCCCATACTTATATACCTACTTAGTTATGAATTATGCTTTTCAAAACCTTAGTGCTCATCAACCCATTTAACAACCAAGTTTCCCAATGAACTTTTGGGCATATACACTTAGTTGTACTTTAAGACTTGCACCTGTGAGTTAAATAACTACTTAACTTAAAAAATTGTTAAGTAAAAAGAAAGAGAGAGCCATCATAGATTCAATCTCTATGACTTACATTGAATTATTCCCATTACTCCTTGAAAATTATCTAATTACACCAGTTTCTCTAGAGCCACTAAAACCTCCTTATTCTAAATGGTTTGGCGCTAAGGCTCAATGTGATTATCATTTTGAAAATACAAGTCATTCAACAAAAAATTGCCTTGCTTTCAAACATAAGGTGTAAGGTTTAATTACAATTGGTGCATTGAGTTTTGGGGATAAATGAAAGCCCAAGATTGTTAATAGGTCATTGTCTAATCATAGTGGTTGAAGAATTTATCTATGGTAGTATTAGTAGCTTGAAGCTGAAAAATAGGGCCATCCAATAGATTTTAGGAATTTTCTTTTAGGAATTTTTTTTAGTGTTAATGTCAAAATAATTTTTAATTTTTAATTAAAGATTTTTTTAATTTTTTTCTTATTATGTGATAGCATTTAATGCATGCATCCATCTATTAATATATAATTTTTTTTCTCTTTTTATGCATAAATTTGTAGTAGACATTAACCTAATTTTTAATTATGATAATAAATGTTTAAAAGCCTGATCATCGAGATAATACTTGCCACTAATGGAGTCAAAACCAATTAGCCGAAATTGAGAGATTTGAGAAAGCACAAGATAAAATGAAAAGAGATCTGGCTTTGATAATAAAAAAGTTGAAAATTTTAAATAAAGAGAAAGAAGTGGATGAAGCTTATGTACAAGCATATTAAGGCGCATAATTACAACAAGCATAACTTTTTGGGGCATACTCTCATCTTAAAATACCTTTAGTAGCCACACAAAGATAACCTTAAAGATACACTATTCCTAGTGAAGATAAATTTGATCCATCCCAAGTCCCTGATGATCCTGAAGAGTTAGAAAAACTGAAAAAAAGTTCAATTGAAGCAGAAAATTCAAGTGTTCAAAAAAAGATGGATCTCATAAAAGAAAGGCTTCGAGTTGTCAAAGTAATATATTTTTATAGAACTATGGATGCATTAGAGCTTTACTTGGTGCCAAATGTGATTATTTTACCCAAAATTCAAGGTTTCAAAATTTAAAAAATATGATGGG